TCCACATCCATAAAGGTGAATCTATCAAAAGTACTCATATAGATAGGTACTCCACTCCACATGAAGTATATATCCCATTAGAATATTCTATTACATTAACCTCTCATCACTTTGAGAATCATGCTTCTTTTTTTAATATCATGTTGTCTCATATAACTTCACAACTTAATTCTTGGGATCTCCAGTCTTTTAGATCAGATTATCATTCTGAGTGACTCGTTGATTTAATGAAAATAGTCTCTTTTTTGGATTTTCTCTCTATCTAATATTTTCTTCAAAGGGTCAACTATGTTTTCATTAGTTTAAACATGATTTATTCTAACATTCCTTTTAGAAAGAAACTTTTTGACATTGTTGTGCTTATGACATGTTTGATGTCTCTTTTCGTTGTAGTAACAATTTATAATATTTTAAATATTTGTGATGCTATCACGGTGGATCAACACGGGTGGAATCAATTTTTCTCGCAAAGGTATCTCTGCTAGCAAGGCTCTCAATTATCTTGCTTCTTCACTAATGATTGCAAGTGATATCATTTTTATTTTATAGTGGATTAAGCAAGAATCATTTATTTATTAGAATTCCAAGAGAGTTCCTCTATATCCATGCTAAATATGTAAGCTCAAGTTTATTTTGAATCATCAAATAAGGTGTTCTAATTAGCATTGTCGCATCCTTCCAAAGCAATGAGAAACTTTTGATGACATATTTGAGGTTCATGGTCCTTTTTAGGTATCCAATGACTCTTTCAATGGTGTGTCGACGATATATACTAGGTCTACTTGTAAACCTACACAACAATTATACGACATAGGTAAAATATCAAGTCTAATACAATCACTGGCATACCTGAGGTTGCAAATGATGTTCAGATATTTAGATCGTATTTTGTTATCATCAATTTTCTTATTGAATTTAATACTTGGATCATATGTGATGCAATCAGGTTCACGGTCAAAGTAATTTTTTTTAAATATATTTTTAACGTAGTAAGATTGATCCAAAGAAATTTGTCTTTTCTAATCTAATACAATTAATACTAAGGATCACTTGTTTTTTCAAGTTCTTTCATATTGAAGTTATTACAAAAATAATAATTTCACAATATTTACGACTTAAATGTTTGAAGCAAATATGAACAAGTTGTCTACAAAGAGACATATGATAATGCAAATGTCATTCTTATACTTATAATAAATATATTTATGACTTTCATTCACTTTAACCCCATTTGAGATTATAAGATTGTCAAATTTTACATGTTTTCTTATGTTTTCTTTAGAAGCTTGTTTGAGGCCATACAAAAATTAATCTAACTTAAAGACTTTAAATTGTTGCCCCTAAACACAAAATCCTTCGAGTTGCTTCTTATAGATTTTTTCTTTCAAATTATCATTCAAAAAAGTAATTTTAACATTCATTTAACGTACCTTTAAATTATGAACATCTACAAATAGATTGAGTATTGTAATGAGTGTTATTCTTTATAATTAGTTAAAAAGTATAGAATAAATATATATCATTGCTTTGTCTAAAATCTTTTGACTACAAGACATATCTTATATTTTTCAACGGTTTGTTCACAACAATTTCATCAAATGCCTTTACATAACTAACAAATAAATTAACATAACAAAATAATAAATATTTAATTTTAACTAAAAATATTGTGGTAACTTTTGTTAAAATACACGGAATGTTTTTGTCACTCAAGAACCTTGACCACTTATTTAATTGTTTAAATTTTTTATCACCTGAATCAATAGTGTAAAACATACTTCATCGTTTTATTATTATTATTAAAAAAATAGCTTAAAATTTTGGTCATTATTAAAAATAAAAATTGATAACTTTTAAACTATTTAATGGTAATATTACTGATATATCTCATTTAATTAAAAAAAATTGATAAAAAATTTTGATTTATTAAATATCAATAAAAAATAATTTAGTAAGTTCTATTTATAGTGTTATTTGTCCATCTCACAATAGATATCATTTTTACCATTTTTAATTATCTCAATTTATTTGTTCCTTAAGAATATTAATATAATTTTTATTTATTTTTTAAAGATAATTTATTAAATAAAAAAGATAGACTTTAAATATAGTCCATCAAAAAGCTAGAAAAATGGATAGTTGAAAAATGTCCAATCTATTTTTTAAAAAACTTTTAAAAACACAAACAGAAGTGAATTTCACCAAGTGTCATATATGTCCAATTTATTTATACATATATGTTTCTCTTTAAAAATGAAAGATATTTTGAATTCAAAAGAGCATATAATGTGTAATATATTCTTCCATTTAATTAAAAGATGCCGATGAACAATATTCACATTAGAAAATATACGAATGACCAACATTAAGTCGTTTCAAATCAAAGATTCATCTAATTCTTCTTGTTAGTATATTTAATAGCAAACATGATTCTATGCAATTCTACTTAAAAGGAGATGCAAACATCAATATTAGCATAAAGAGCTTCCAATAATATTCCTAAATCATCTCTAAAGATACTACCATAAATTGATATTTTTGTATTTCCTCTTGAAATTCCACCTTTGATGCAATTAATTCAATTATGACTAGAAAAGCTCCCAATTAACTTATATAATTTGAGGTACGAGAGGATGTCGACATTTCATATTAAAATATTTAATAATTGTAAACTCGTGAATTGAAGAGTACATGTGTCTTTTGAAAGAAGTGGATGTCATATAGACTATTTGTTTAATATGAAGAATATCTCTATCAAAGTCAATTTTACCATTTTGAAACCTGATATCATTTCTTTTGTGTCAAGATTTTCAAATAATATTATGAAGATATTCATTATCAGATTCTAAATTTGAGAGCTCCAACTTCTACCAACAAGTTTGAATAAGGTTATGTAACTAGTTCTATTAATTTTCTTGCCAAACAATCATTCCATTCAATTCCAAAAAAGTAAACTTTATATGCATCTAAGAAATAAGTGGTATGTAGTTTTCATATCATAATTGTAAAGAGAGCACCTTGAAATCATATGCATTTCTCTTCGAATCAGGTTGTCTTCAATTGCAATAACATTACGCATTAGTTTCTAAATAACTAATGGCTTAGCGAGATGTATGCAGGGATTCCAAATGATTTTTTTCAAGAAGGTTCAATGTGATTCCTCCTTATATAATTTTTAAAAGATAGATCACCGTTTGCAGATCATGTCCAAACGAGTTTATCAACAATAGTATTATCAAATGGCAAATTAATCTTCAAAATTTCTTCAACAACTTGAGGAGCCAAAATGGGTCAATCGTGATGAATATTCCAATTGATGTCTTGGATAATTGAATCGACCTTAACATTTTACATAAATTGAATATATATTGGCAATACTATGTGTAAATCTTTAATTTTGTATTTCAACCATTTGTCAGTCTATAAATTAATGTTTTTATCATTATCAACTAGTCATCTATTATGTTCCTCCAGAAAGAAAAAAGAATGTTTAGTGTCAGGCCATATTGAAGAGGAAATATGACGCATGATTGATCTTTTGTGCCTGGAGTCTCTACTAATAAGCATAATAGACCATTGATTATTGATACTCAATAACTTTCAACAAAGAGATAAATAATCATCTTTGTTTATTATCTTAATATCTCTCAGGTCAATATCTCTTTTAGACAAAGGCGAGTAAATAATCTTCCAATGTAGTAATCAACTTTCTATTGTCTATGTTACTTGTCCATGCAAAAAATTTAATGTAAGAATCTAGTTTATTAAGAAGATTGATTGATCTTTCACAAATCCTAAGATTATACAAAATCATGTCTTGTATGACTGACTGGATCAATTGAACCCTACCTATCATAGAAAGAATGTGAACCTTTCAAGTAGCTAGCTTGGCCAATATTGCATCTTTATTATCCGAAGATAATGAGTCATAGGCTTGCCTTTGAATATATGAATGAACTCCAAGATAATTAAATGGTGATTTTCTCACAATAAATTCAAATATATCTACAATATACCTCAACTTAGATCCAAAAGTATCTCCACCATAAACTTTACATTTAGTTGAACTTACGTCTTCGATCACAATTCTAACTATATTCTTAAAAGAGATGATTAATGACTTAAACATTTTTCTTTGTAGCTTTACAAAATATCATAAAATTATTTGAAAAAAATGTGTGACTAAGAATAATTGTCTTACCAACTAATATGCATGTTAATTTATCCTAATCCACCTACATAAATAAATAAATAATAATCTATTATATTATTATTAATTTACTCTTATTTTATACTATTGTCTTAGTTACTCTACTATCTAATATTAATGTGTAGTAATGACTCTTTTAATAAATACCACTCATTTTATTACTAAAATCAACACCACTAATTATTATCATACAAATTGTGTAAAATTTAAAATAAAAAAACGCCTAATTTAAAATGGGAAGAGTATATGAAATCTAAAAAAAAAATTTATTGTTTTTAATTCATTTTCTTAATCAATGTAGATTTGTTTGTTTAATTAGCTTTCTTTATTTATTTACCATTCTAAAAAACTCAACTAGTAATAATAAATAAAGTTTAATTGGCTTTCTTTATTATTATTATTATTATTATTATTATTATTATTATTATTATTATTATTATTATTATTATTATTATTATTATTATTGAAATCTTCAAAAAGAAATATGAAATGAAAATGAACCAAAAAAATAGCAAATATGATAAGACCCTTTCAAAAAAAGGTCAAGACCAAAAACCATGTCTATGTTCTAACACATAAAATGTTTCTTATTTATTCCAAATTTCAATTCCACTCTCTTTCCTAAATTGTCTTTCAACTGACACAAATTTCTTCGTCTGTTCTGTGTTTCAACTCTCCACAATTATCATTCCTTCTCATCTGGGTACTCTTCATCATCCTCTAAATCCGAAGCAAGCTCGAATTTTTTGTCAAAGTTTGTACCTTTGACTTTTTCTCCGCGTGTCTGAAAATGGGTGGGAGCGAGAACTCGAAGGCTATGGTTGTGGGTCGTTTGTCTGATTCCATCAGGGAGATTTCTGGGTTGCCCGAATGTCAAAACGTTTGCAAGAGGATGTATGGGAATTTGATCCGTAGGGTGAAGCTTCTGAGTCCTTTGTTTGAGGAATTGAAGGATTGTGATGAATCCCTTTATGATCAACAGCTTGAAGCTTTTGAAGCTTTAAGGGTTGCTTTGGATTTGGCTATGATTCTTCTCAAGTCTGTTAACCAAGGAAGTAAACTTTATCAGGTCTGGCTTTTTCTTTCTCCCTTTTCGTGTTTTGTTTGAAACTGTTAACTTAGTTTTGTAACTGATTATTAAAACTTCATGATCCCATAAGTTATTCTCAAGAGCTTATTGGAATAAGCTGAAAACAAGTCATTAACATGTTGTAACTTTTAAGCGGTTTGCATAAGTTCTTCCAAAGAGTTTTGCAAGTGTTTATGTCTATATATAAGCTCAAATGAACCAATCCAAATAGGCCATGTTGTAATAATTAGAGTAAGAGATTAAAATCTTCAGAGGCTCTGTGCTTTCTGGTTCGATTTTGTTTATCGAAAATGTTATACTAGTTGATCAGAAAAGTTAATTTTAACTTAATTATTGCTTTACATGCCATAGGCTTTATGGAGGAACGATGCAGCGGATAAGTTTCAACAAGTAACTGAAAAAATTGAAGCTGCATTGAGTGATATTTCATATGACAAACTTGAGATATCAGAGGAAGTTCAAGAACAGGTAAATTTATCGTACACTGAAACGAGACTGATAATACTGTATGCAATTCAACGGCATTTCAAACATTTTCTGTCATTTCTATATTGAGAGTTCTTTGATATGATTTTGGAACTTCTGCAAGGAAAGATATTTTTCAACTGATTTAATCTCTTTCAGATTGAATTGGTGCATGCTCAGTTCAAAAGAGCGAAAGCTCAAACGGAATTCGCTGATTTACAGCTAGATTTGGATATGGCTGTAGCACTGAAAGAAAAAGACCCTGATCCTGCTATACTCAAAAGACTTTCTGAGAAGTTGCATCTTAGGACTATAAATGATTTAAAGAAAGAGTCTAGTGAATTGCACGAATTGGTCATAACAAGCGATGGAGAATTATCGGACAGTTTTGAAACAGTCTCGTCTCTTCTTAGGAAACTGAAGGACTGGGTGCTCACTGAAAATCCTGAGGTTGATAGTGCATATGAGAACGAGAAAATGTCAATTAAGCACCGGTCTCCTGTAATCCCAGATGATTTTCGATGTCCTATATCACTTGAACTAATGAAAGATCCTGTAATTGTCTCTACCGGTCAGGTATTAGCTACGTTTGTGTTTTTGCAAAACGTTTTTCTAATGGTGTCATTGACGATCATTGATAAAAACTCTTACTTTCTTTTGCAGACATATGAAAGATCCTGCATTCAAAAATGGCTCGATGCTGGTCACAGAACTTGCCCTAAAACACAGCAAACACTTCTGCATACAGCCCTTACTCCTAACTATGTTTTGAAGAGTCTGATTGGTTTATGGTGTGAAAGCAATGGTGTTGAGCTACCGAAGAAGCAAGGTAGCTGCAAAACAACGAAATCCGGAACTAGTCTTTCCGATTGTGACAGAATTGCTATCAAAGCTTTGTTGGATAAATTAACAAGTAACGATATTGAACAGCAAAGGGCGGCTGCTGGCGAGCTCCGATTGCTAGCCAAAAGGAATGCTGATAATCGAGTATGTATTGCCGAGGCAGGAGCAATACCGCTTCTCGTAGAGTTGTTGTCATCTGGTGACCCTCGAACTCAAGAGCACGCCGTTACAGCACTTCTCAATCTTTCCATCAACGAGAGTAACAAAGGAACTATAGTAAATGCAGGAGCTATACCAGATATTGTTGATGTACTGAGAAACGGAAGCATGGAGGCTAGAGAAAATGCAGCCGCGACTCTCTTTAGTTTATCGGTTCTCGACGAGAACAAAGTTGCAATAGGTGCAGCAGGAGCTATCCCGGCTCTTATAAAGTTACTTTGCGAAGGTACTCCAAGAGGCAAAAAAGATGCGGCTACGGCTATATTTAATCTATGTATTTATCAAGGAAACAAAGCTAGAGCTGTAAAAGCCGGGATAGTTGCTGCACTGATACGGTTTATGAAGGACGCGGGGGGTGGGATGGTTGACGAAGCGTTAGCTATAATGGCAATCCTTGCAGGCCATCATGAAGGCAGGATGGCGATCGGTCAGGCCGAGCCAATCCCTATTTTAGTTGAGGTTATACGAACCGGATCACCGCGTAACCGGGAGAATGCGGCTGCAGTTTTGTGGTCGGTATGCACAGGAGATTTAGTGCAACTGAAACTAGCAAAGGAACATGGAGCAGAAGAAGCACTTCAAGGATTATCAGAAAATGGAACAGATAGAGCTAAGAGAAAAGCTGGAAGTATATTAGAACTGTTGCAAAGAATTGAAGGGGAGGATAGTTTGCAAAATTCCTAGCCTCAAGTGTATAACTGTATTGTTTATAGTTCAAATATAGATTGGTCATTAAACTGTGCAGAAACTTCATAAATATTCATATTGTGTTTGGATGTCATTTGTTCTTAAAGGGAAATGTTGTAAATTATCTTTTAATAAATGTTATGTCAGGATTCTATCATTTCAAGTTTACTCTATCAAACATAAGCCAAAGAATTTATTATATTTTTATATTCAACCTTACTCTACCAAACATAAGCCAAAGAGTATCCTCTCAAAAATCTATCCAATTCATCCTATTCATCTATTAAATAAAAAATAAGTTAATGAATTGGATTAAATCCATCCATTTATATACATGAATACATTCAATCTATCCCCACATTTTGATGATCCAATAAATTATTTTTATATTATTATTTAAATCCAATAAATCTATTTTTTTTAAATTAATAAAAACTTAATTTTTTTTTTAAAATAACGAAAACTATGTTATTCAGAATTTTAAAAAATCGAGTTTTTCTAGAAAATCAAAAAATCAAATTTTTTTTGGAAGATTGAGATTTTCAGAAATTTGAAATTTTGAGTTTTTCTAAAAGTCGAGTTTTTTCAGAAAACCGGAAAAATCGAGTTTTTCAAAAAATCGAGTTTTTTTCGAAAAATCGAGTTTTTCTGGAAAATCAAAAAATCGAGTTTGTTCAAAAAAACAAGTTTTTTCGGAAAATCGAAAAAAAATTGAGTTTTTCCGACAGAAAATTGAAAAATCGAGTCTTTTTGGAAAATCAAGTTTTTTCAAAAAATCGAAAAAACGAGTTTTTTTGGTAAATCGAAAAATCAACTTTTTGGGAAAATCGAAAAAATGACTTTTTTGGGAAAATCGAATTATCGAGCTTTTTCGGAAAATCGAGTTTTTTAGGAAAATCGAAAATTGAGTTTTTTTTTGGAAAATCGATGAATAGAGGTTTTTTGGAAATTCGAAAAATCGAATTTTCTCAGAAAATCGAAAAAATTGAGTTTCATCGAAAAATTGAAAATCGAGTTTTTTCTAAAAAATGAGTTTTTCGAAAAATCAAAAAATTGAGTTTTTCCTTAAAATCGAGTTTTTTTTATGGAAAACCGAAATATCGAGTTTTTTCGAAAAATCAAAAAGTCGTGGTTTTTTCGAAAAATCGAAAGTAGAGTTTTTTCGGATAATTCGAAAAATTAAAAAATCGAGTTTTTTTCTTCAGAAAATTGAGTGTTATATATTTGAAAAAACAAAAAATCGAGTTTTTTTAGAAAATCGTATTTTTTTTCAGATAATCGAAAAAATCGAGTTTTTTAGGAAAATCAAAAAATTGAGTTTTTTGGAAAAATCGAAAAAATTCGGAAATACGTAAAAATCGATTTTTTTTAGAAAATCGAAAAATCGAGTTTTTTTCGAAAAAATTAAATATTGAATTTTTTCGAAAATACAAAAAAAAATCGAATTTATTCGAAAATACAAAGTATATTTAAAAAAAATAAATACATACGTTTAAATTAATTTTTTGGGTGAATGAATATCTATCCATTAAAATATTATTAATAGATGAATTGGATAGATTTTATTTTTAATGGATCGATTAGATATTTTTAAAGAAGTTTTAATGGATTGTTAATGGATTAATGAATTATTTTGATCTATCCATTATTAATTCAATCTATGTCCATCCAATCCAATCCATCCATTTTACCACCCTACCAAAGAGTTTATACTATTCTTATATTCAAGCTTTCTCTATGAAACATAAGCCAAGTGTTTAAATCAATATGAACAAACATTATATTCAATAGAGTAGAAATGTGCCTACTCTCTTTTAGTTGTAGAAATTTTTAGAACATGATGAAGTAATGGATGTGACTAGAACATGTTTGTTACGTTTTTTTTTTTTAATAATTTTTACAATATTACATATTTTGATGATAAAATTTTAGTTAATATTTTAAAAAACTTGAAATGAAAAAAAAAAATTAAAATATTTTATTCTTTTTCTATGTTATAAAAAAAATAAAAAATCATTTAAATTTGAAACAATTTTAAATAGACTTTTATAAGAGTCATTTTAGAGATTTTTTTTAAACTTCAATTTTTATTATATTAAAATCTTTAAAACAAATAGTTAAGTTGATATCAAAAATACCTCTTGCATTAACAATTACTTGCAGCAACCAAAAAATTTAAAATAAATAAATTTACTTATAATCCTTTTATTATAATCCTTTTACAATTTAAATTCTTCAACATTTGAATTTAATCTCAGTTATTTTATAAAGAATTTAATTAAATCTCTGGAAAATTAACCTAAAATCCTAAATCTCCCTTCAAACCCCAATACTAAAAGTATAATTAGCAGAAAATTTTAGTGGATTCCAAGGTCTGGCTGGAATGACAAATCCCACTATTTAAGTTTCCAAGTTGAGTGGAGAAGACATATGTTACTTAGTATATACAACCAAAATCAACAATAACACACTTGCATACAATGTCCAATCATTGTCCATAAATTGAAATAGAGCACAGCGAAAAACAGTCCTCATAGTATTCATTCCAGGAAGAATCTTTAGCACCATAAGACTTTCATCAGAGCTCATGCATCATCCTAGGCTAAAACAACTCTGTTAAGCATAGGATTGGTTTGGCATCATCACATTAACTTGCCTGCCTAGCTGGACAAGACTCAAAATGAAGAAGAAGAAGAAGAAAAAACTCAAGCTTTAATCAACCTAGTTTTTCCATGAATGTTTCAAGGAGGGTTTGGCCATTGACTATTTTTGTTGACGCAATAACCAAATCATATGCCATGCTTTCCTGCGAGACAAACCACATCCAGAATTAGGAAGTGAAAACAAGGGAATATACAACCAACACCCAACGCCCAGACCAGTTTGAATAAACTGTGGTGATTTAAGAAAAGGGTGATTAATTAATTATCCAATAGTGATCAAGATAAGTAAACAATAATCAAAACAACATAGTTCTCTCTCTTCGTATTTTTTAGTGCGTTGCTGGAAATAAAATTTGAACAATAGATATATTTTTATCCCTACTTTTGGGCCCTCGAGGCTCTGCTTTCTTAAGCAACGGCGATGAACTAACTAATCCAAAAGCATGTTTGATGACAAAAACATAAGTGATTTTATATCTAACACATATCCTGAATTCACGAGTTCTGAATGATCCAAATCAACTCAAATTTCCAAGTTGATTTGAACCTTCTATATATCAAATGGTATGCTAGACAAGATGAATGTGGAATTATGCATAAGACATACGCAATATCATTTAGGATGTCTTTATAGGAAATCATTTTAAGAGTAAGGAAAAAACAGGGACTGCAATAACCCGAACCATCTAGAGTAATTATGAACCCTTGAACCAGCTGCCTTCAAGAGTTGTGTTGGCCCAAGTTCCTAATCTTAGTTTAATTTCTGGGGTTGCCTAGGTTTGTCACCACCCTTGCTATCCTTCATCATTTGAGACCCTTGCATGAGTTCCGTGTATTCTAGATGTATCAAGAAATCATCCACAAAACTAGAAGCTTATGAGAATGTATTTGGAAAACAAATTTGATTTTATAAATGAAACATTGTTTGGAAAGTATAAGTAAAATAGGAATTGATAGACTTGGTAAAGTTTGGATGGTGAGTTAAGGAATGGAGTGATAAGGAGAGAAAGAGGGTCAAATCTTCACCTTATCGTAATACTAATTATATTAACAAGATATTTCAACAAATAAAATGAATTATTAGAGTGAGATATGAGAGAGAAGAGAGAAAAAGCTAAAAGAGAAAAGAGAGAAACAGATTCTGTTATTGCTTGATTGGAAAGGAGCATTATGCTCTATTTATACAAGAGGAGATGAACATTCAAGAGTTGAATCATTCAAGCTCTACAATTAAGGAAGACTTTTCTTATTCTATTAAATTAAGGCTGGACTTAATTATTCTATAGTGCTGATTATTCATATTCTAAGATATAACTCTAATACTCCCCCACAAGCTCAAGGTGGCTGCAAAGGCTGACTTGAGGCAGACAGGTTGAGCTTGCTGCTGAGCTCCATAAATCTTGAACATGAGAGAGGCTTGGTGAGGATGTCAGCCTTCTGGTCAACACCAGGAATGTGGCAGACAGTGAGAGACTTATTAATCACCTTTTCTCTTACAAAAAAGAGGTCAATTTCCATATGCTTTGTTCTTGCATGAAGAACAGGGTTATGAGCCATAGCAACTGTGCTCTGGTTGTCACAATAGATGGTTGGAGTTGTCAAGGGAATTTTTAGTTCAGCTAGCAAAGTTTGAACCCATAAAACTTCAGCTGTGGTGTGAGCCAAGCTGCGATACTCTGCCTCAGCACTAGAACGAGCAACAACAGTTTGCTTTTTGGACCACCAAGAGATCAAATTAGGGCCTAAGTACACAGCTGACCCAGAGGTGGATCTTCTATCATCTGGGTCAGCAGCCCAGTCAGCATCACAATAGGCTTGCAGAGAGAACGGAACAGTGGAGGCTGGAGTGAACAATAAACCAGAGGTGATAGTTCCTTTTAGGTAGCGCAGAATACGCTTGACAGCTAGCCAATGGGACTCCAAGGGGTGTGCCATGAATTGACATACTTTGTTAACAGCATAGCAGATTTCTGGCCGTGTAATTGTTGCATACTGCAGGGCCCCTACAATGGACCGGTAGTGGGAGGCATCAGACAAGGCAGCAGACCCTGTTTTGATGAGTTTGGTGGAGGAAGCCATAGGAGTAGCAACTGGATTGGAATTCTCCATATCAGTTTTGATTAGCAAGTCCCTTAGGTACTTAGATTGAGTGAGAAGGAGATTTCCATTGGACAATTTCTTCACCTCAAGGCCCAGAAAATAATCCAAGTCACCAAGTTGTTTGAGAGCAAACACATGATTTAATTGTTGAGTAACTTGCTTGATGAGAGGAGGGGAGTTTCCTGTGATGATTATATCATCAACATAAACCAGCATATAAATGACAGCATTGTG